GAGACACGATTTTGAGGAAGGGACCTGCAGCTGAGGTTATCCTGACAGTCAAAACGTACACAACATGCACTCAGAGATTTCTGAGAACCTTGGCCCTCTCCTCCACGCCCTACGTGTGGTCTGGCTAGTCCCATGCTGAAGCCAAGCCTGGCATTTTGTGAATCAAATGTGGTCCAAAGAAAATGACAGGAAGACATGAAGGTGAGCGTGGGAGTGAATAGGTGCTTGTAAGCCTTTATATTTCTGTGGGTGGACACGCCTGTGATCTCAAGCATCATGTTCTCACGCACCCTCCTCTGCTGTCAGCACACTTCCTGACCACACGAAGAAAAACACAAACACATCAATTTTAATAGATGCTCTGGCAGACTTGGGCCGTTCTCACAGTAGCTTGGGACCCTGGGTGTTTTTGCAGCTTTCAGCCATCATTTTGAACTGGGACGAGGTTGGGTTTAAGGGCAAAAATGCTGAAGACCGGCAGAATGATCTCAGGTACTGGATCCTGTGGTCAGAGCAGGGCAGCAGGAATTCACCCGGTGACCAGTGGCTCCTTCAAGCCTCAGAGGAGGAAGGAGCTGCTTCTGCCCTGCGCGTGAAGTCTAAGCCTGGCGCTGACCCACCCCAGGAATGAAAATTCAAACCCGGCCGCCGTTTGGTCTTCAGGATGAGTTTGCAGCTGTTACCACTGTTTGCAGAAAGTAGAAGTAAGAAGTCTGTTCCCAGTGAGTGAGCAGACCTTGGCTGCTAAGAGGGACAGGAAGAGAATTTCAAAACATCTTACAGAAAGAAACCTCCTCCTGGAAAGCCAAAATTGGGGGTGGGGTTTGCTAAGTGCCAACACCAGGGGGTGGTTTGTGGCAGAGCGACCAGACTGGCAGGCTGATGACTGTGGAGGTATCACTGTCACTGTCACCTATAGTCCTATCCCTCTCTGTGAAGAGAGGCATTTCAATCCTGGGCCAACGAGTCATCAGAAAATGCTATTTCTCATTTTGGAAAAAACCACTCTAACCCAGTGGGATATTTCACTGTTATCTGTTCTCCTTATAAATATGGTGATGGTGGCAGGGGGGAACGCAGGCCCTTAGAAATTAAAGCCATATGGATACCACATTTAAAGAAAAAAACACAAAACACAACAACCCAGGCCGTTACATTATTGCTGACCATAGGAATTCAGTATTTATAATTTACATTCTTTCCCATACTTTGCTGTTTTTCACAAGTGAAGAGCAGAGGTTTATGGCCTCGCCGGATCGTAAATCAGATTCCTGAGGGTAGAGGGAGCTGCTACGGGCAGAAGGAATTGCCCTCTGACAGTTTGCAGAATGCACCAAAACATCAGGAAAAGAACCCAAATGGAGAGAGATGGGACCCTGCTTCAAGGAGCGTGAGACACCAGTTATTCCTTCCACCAAGCGTGCAACCAGCTGAAATCACACCAAGGATGGCCTGGAGGTTTGGCCATCGCTACAAAGCGAGCACCAGGGGTAGGGGAGGCAAAGGCGTGGGCGCCCCCAGGGGCTCCTCATAAGCCATTTGTCGAGGATGTCTGGGAGCAAGGAAGGGGGACAGATGGAGGCTCGGGTCCGGTAATGGGGCTTAAGACATGTGCCCAAGAATTAAGACAAGGAGCCTGGAGTCGGAGAAAGAGCATAAGTCTCTGGGTTGATCTGACGCCCCCTAGTGGCTGTGTACTCTTGGGTCAAGTTCTCAAGCCTCATGACCCAGGAAAACAGGGATTGACAGCAAACTCACAGGACTGAAGAACACACATACGTCACAGGGGTGTGTGTGTGGGGGGGCGTCACAGGGACCCCCTTCCCCTGGAATTAGAAGTGCTGCTCTGGCACTTGGCTCTCCAGCAAAGCCAGCTGAGTGCTACGGTGGCCACTAGGGAGACTCGAGGGAAGGAGGGGTTTCCAAGAGCCCCATCCAGAGGTCTGGCGAAGGATCCCAGTCCTTCAAATGCCTTTGGAAGATCTGTTAGCGGTGGCCCTAGTGAACTCATCCCCTTGCTCTTGGCCTGGATTTTACACAGTCTAAGAGAAGGTAGAGGATTCTCAACATTTTGAAACCTGGGGATCCTCATAAGCCTTTCCCAGGTTGCATCCATAAAATACCTAATCAGCCCGTGAATATGTAGTTGGATTGATGAGACCGAGTCAGGCAAGTGAGAACAAGAAGGTTTACAGTCCAGATTTTCCAGTATGGATTGTAACATAAATCCTGCCTGCAATTTGACACTGTAATTAAGGCTATAATATGTATACTTCAGACATGAGGATGCAATATTTTAGGTCTTGGGTCTCAGGTTTATCTACTTTTCTTTTAAAGGCAAACAAACCTTATTTCCTGTGTTGTAAAGCCACACGAGTCCCCTTTACTCAGCGTCCAGAAAAGGGGTACACGGGAACACTGGTATCTGAGGCCCTGGGGAGACCGTGTGGAGGCCAGGCACATCGGAGCAAACCTTCCTGCCATTTGGGGCATATGGGTGCCCACAACTTGCAGCCCCTTGGAGAACGTTTTCAGAGCATTCCAGTAACAAAACAAGCAAACAAAGTTAACACCTGGGGCACAGGAGGTTCAAGCATGAGCCCAGAATGGCTAAGGAGGTTGGGTGGTTGGTTGCCATCAGCTGGGAAAGCAAAACTCTCAGGCAAATTCTATTTTCTGAATGATGTTTCTGTCCTCACTGGGTTTATGAGAAGGGGATGGAAGAAAGGTAACGTCAAGGTAGACAAAATTGCAGATGAATTTCTCAAAGGGATTAAAGGCGACCTTTAGTAAACATAGGTGACAAGGAAAATTTTACATTTCAGCATTCCCACACACTAAAAAAACAAAAACCAAAAATATACACATCCAACTATTTTCCCCCTTCTTTGGTAGACATTAAAAATAATTCCTCTAAATTCACAGAAGACAGCAAAATAAAAAAGCTGTAGGTATTTATTGCATCAAAGGTAATATCAGAGTTAAATTAAAAAAATTTGTAACCTTCACCTGTGATAGTCCTAGCATCGGGTTTAGGATAAAATGTGATAAAGTGAAATGTTGTAAAAATCTATTATGGGCTAGCAACCAGACTCTGAAGCCCATTGGTCGTGGCCATTACTAATGCTGAAACTCACAAAGAACCAAATCTCAAATATAACCCTTGCAATGCACATGCACAGTGAAGGCAAGAGATGCACCTGTAATGAAACACTGATGAACAGAAGTCTTGGTTCTCCTCACGTCTTGATTTCAATCATAAAAGTGGGAAATACATTGAGGATTTTCAATTACCTACCTGGGGGATACCTGGTTTTCATAGCAATAAGAACTCCGTAAGTGAAGCCCACCTGGTGAACACGCGGGTAACCCTACGCATAATTAAAAGAGCACAGAGCACACAAATGAATCCCCCCTGTTTAAAGTGCTCACTTCCTCTGGTTTCCAATGGTTAAATTTTTTCTCTTCCACCCTGCATTTAGCTCCCCCCGTAAGGGCCTGAGTAACTGCACTATTATCAACAAATAAGGCAACCCAAGGGTCCAATTCCACAAGGAGACCCCTGACAAAAAGAGGTATCACTTAGAGATGATGCAGAGCGGCTTCAGAGGGGAGACCAATAGGGCTGAACCTGATGGATTTGGTAAAGAATTTTATTTCTCCTAGGTGAGTACTTTACTCATGAGCTCACTACAGAAGCAGTCATGGTGAAAATAAGACTGGCATTTATAGGATGTCTTTTATCATCAAAATGCTTAAAACAGGTCAATGAAGTGTCCTAGCATTGCTATGGGAGCAGTTTGGCCAAGGCTTTTACAAATGGTGAAAACAGACACAAGAAAAGCAGGGAAAGGCCACGGAAAGACCAAGAATGACAAAAAAGAAAAAGTACTCAACACTTCATGCCGTGATACGTACAGAGAAACATACGTAAAGAATTCTGCGCGTATTACGTCCAAAACAATGGTGCCTTTCTAGAGGGCAGTTTGTAAATGGCAAATGTGAGATCACTTGCAACCAAATCGTTTCTGACACTAAATGACAACTCTGATTAAAGGGATTAAAGGCGATCTTTAGTAAACATAGGTGACAAGGAAAATTTTACATTTCATCAATGTGAAGCCCATTTGCATAGAAATGAGTGGAAAAAGTAGACCAAACCCAGCAGCACAGTTTCTAGGAGGAAATGGCAGCCGTGGATCTGGCTGGTCAAGGAAAGCACTAGTTTTGGAAACACCGTAGTCAAGAGCTCTTACTGAAAGGGAAAAAAAAAAAGATTAAACTCAAAGAAAGGACACGGAAAGCAGCTGAGGACTTTCCCGGCCGTTCCGTACAAAGCCACTGAGGAAAGACTGTCTCACATGCATTCTGCTTTCACGTGACCCAAGGAAATCCAAGTCATCGCAGGTGGGCAGGTGCCTCTCCTAGGCCGGCCTTGGAGAAGGAAACGTCTTCTTCAGCTGCACCCGGCTATCGATCAGAGGAGAGTTAAAGCGCCAGAAAACGAACTTGGAGACACTCAGGGAGGTGGCCCAGCACGAGGAAGTGGAGTTGAGGCCGGCGACGTACACGATGTCCGTGCTGCACAGACGTGCTCAGAGAAGCAAAACGAAACAAACTCACCTACTTTCAAAGTCAAACAAATTTTACATTGTACCTCTGTTTAAGAAAGGCCTCTCTGATGGGGGATAAAAGAGCGCGGGGGTCTATGGGACAAGCACCTCTTTGCCTCTCTTCAGGACTATCACGGGAAGGATGGGGCCGCTGCTGGGACCGCAGGGCCGGCACAACCCGGCGCACCAGCCCGGTGACTGGCGACGCTTCTCTGCTGTCAATGAGCACAGCAGGTGATCCTCGCTTTGTGTGACTCATTTAACCCCTTCACCCTGGGATTCTTTTGCAGGCAAAGAAAAACATGACACTTCTGTGGGTAAAGACTTCCTTAAAGGGGGAAAAGACATCGAAACCTTTGTGCTCTGTGAAATGAGGGAACAAAAGGGTGGCTTGCAGCAAGTTTATATCTGTAGGAAAATCAACTGGGTACCGGCCACTTGCTAGAGAAAAAAATCCAGCTTGGTTGATGTAACCATTACCCTAGTAAGAAAACAATGACTATCTTGTTCATTTCCTCTTGATCACTTGGGAAGGTTAGGAAAAGGGACATATGTGTCTGTAAGCCCTCTAAAGTACACATTTTCTTCTCTTTTCTTCTCACTACGCGAAACACATACACATTCTTATTATCCTAAAGTCACTTGAAAAATACGGTGATTGCTTACAAATAGTGGAAAATACCAATAAGAGGCAAAGAAATGAGCACTTTACAGAGACAGAATTTGATGGGCTTTAACGTGAACCGTTTTATTTAAAACAGGGATCCATCCGAGGTGGTGAACTATCAGGGTCAATGTTCTAGAGCATGGCACGGATGGATGAAAGGGAATACTCACCAGCACCTCACACGGGACTAAAAGACAATGTCAGCAACACACCACGGAAGGAAAACAAACAAAATGGAAAAGGCACCTGGGGGGGAGGGGCTGCGGTGAGCACTGCCTCTCGGCAGGTCCACGCCTGTGCACTGTGGATAAGTCTGGACAAGCGACATTGGAAAGGGAACAAAAAGGTTCCGATCTGAAGCCCAGGATCCTACGTGGGTAGCTAACCTTTCCTCAGCCTGGTTTCCACCCACCGCTGTGTAGTTTCAGGTCCTAAAAAGGGGAGAAGGCTGCTAAAGTGTAACACAAACTCTCCCCCCCCCTTTTTTTCTCTAGGAAAAGAAAGAGAAACCTCCCCCAATTCAACCTCAGAGGTGGCTTCTGAAGGCTTGTAAGCATCCTGACATAAAAAATAAGAAACAACAAAATAAAAGACAGGTAAGTGGCCTGGACTTAAACCAGTCAGTCAAACGGAAAGGCAGATTCAGAAAAATAAAACCTGGTGACCAGTCCGTCAGCTGTCTGGTTGGCGCCCTGCCTGAGTGAAGATGTTTAAACTGCATCCACAACACACGCACGCAAGCACAGAACTGCTTCTGGCAACTGAGTAAATAGCTACCCTCTCCTTTGAGCACGGTCCTGCTACCGGTGACCACGTGCCAAGTGCTGAAGTTACAAGAGACACCCGAGTGGCGAAGGACCCCCAGCAGTGGTCTGCCCCGTGTGGCCGGGTCTGTGGGCAACAAGACTTATGCTCTCAAATAATGACCCCTCCCAGCCCCCACTCCTTCCCGTTCACGCTATGCGTTTCGACCTCCCCGCAGGGAGGTCCAGCCGATTCCGTCCCCTCCCGGTTTGAGGCACTCCCTGGAACATCTTTGATTAACCAGGGTCCTTCATTTCTTTCCAACTCCGTTGGTGACTTTTGACTTGGAATGTCGATTCCTTCTTCTGGAAGAATGGCTCTCGTTGTTGCCTGGATGCTTGGGTGGGCCATCTTCAGAACCTGGCCAAAGGAATCGGGACACACCGTCACCGTGGGCTGTGGGCTCCCGGCTCGGGGCTTCTGAAGCCTCTGATTCTGGTTCTCCCTGCCCGGGCCGCCCCACCGCTCCTCCACTGGTCCTTGTGCGCCATCTAGTGGCCTCGTTAATGAATCAAGGCACAGAAGCCCCGGCACTGAGCTAGCACAGCCGGGGCCAGGGTGTGCAAGCCATGGCTCCACAAAGACAGGAGCGTCCTGAGGATGTTTACGTTCACACCGTAGGGCGGATCGTGGTCATGGTGATGGGGACCAGAAGTGAGAGCACAAATAACATCGAAGCACAAAGGAGGGACAATTAAAACAAACCACATGGGTGTCGAGTCTACCTTAGCAATCAAAGGACGCATCAACTAGTTGTCCACACCTTGACCTGCTACACACCATTGTTTCTAAATCCCTAAATGGGAATGGATTCTTGACTTGGCAAAAATCAAAGATATTACATGCCCTCAATGGTTTGATCTGGAAGCCACCTTTACAAATCTGCTGCTCATGACAGGCAGCCCCGGAGCCATACACTGAAGATGCCACATGCCCTCAAGAAGCTCACGGTCTGCTGGGATGGTGTCGTCTGTCACGCTCTATCATTTGTGTGGGAGCTTAGAGAAAGACGTCTACATTGGCTGAGTGCTGGGCAATCATCAGGCATCAGCCAGGTGGAGGGTGGAGCCAGGGCAGTGGTGGGGTGAGGGTGGGCATTCCGGGTAGGGGTGTGTAAGGCCTGGAGGGTCATCGGAACTTTCTGGCATTAGGCTGGCTCTGCCCTCGGGCTGAGAACATGGAAAACCTCTGGCTTAGCAGCTAAGCCAAAAGGTTCTCTGCTCCAGGGCTCAGATTTTTTTTTTTAAGCTGTCTACCTTTCATTTAAATATATCTCTACCATTGCTTGTTTCTTTTAGTCTTTTCAGTGGAGAACCCGGAATTGCCATGGACTGATCTCTAGGATGGTTCTGAATAAGGGAGCCCAGGGGAACCCCTGTGCCTACCTCCATCAGCATTCCATAATAGGTTGCTGATTCAGGAGAAATCATCTCAGGGTGACCAGCACTCGGTGGTGTTTTCCCCAGGGACAGCTGTGATCAGCTTCACCCCAAAAGAACTCAGGAGAGCAACTGCCTCAGCAGTGTTTTCCCCTCCCTTGTCCCCGCTTCTCTGAGCAATTCTGTGGGTTAAAATTCATGGTCTCTGACATTCAGTTCTCTTCCTTCAGTCAAGCCCAGAATCAGCTCATAACTGACATGGAATTACTATCCAGTGGAGCCTCCTCTGGGTCATTGTTCTACGAGTCAAATTCTTTAAGATAACCAGGTGGCCTCAAATCTTTCCAAAATGCTCCTTGGAGAGAGGCCAGTGGGAGATCCCTGACTACACTGTTGAGATCCCTCTCCTGCTGGCCCATCTCTTGAATGAACACGATTAAGTCGATCCACCTCTTCGGAAAGGTTTCTCCTCCTGGCACACAACTCTTCCTAATGCTTTTCACTCACAGTGAAAGCCAAGAGGAGGAACATCCCCATCAGGATGCTTGAGACAGTGGGATCTTGTTACGTTTTCCTGTCTCAGAAAAGGCAGAACCACGTGGCACCTCTTCTTACGAAGCAAGTTTCTTGAGCAGAACCTGTGAGCACTTTGCATGTTTCTTAGTGAGTAACAGGAGACATGCGATGAGTAGGTTTGAGACCCTTCAGGGCATATATTTATCAACATTCGGAAGATAAATACTGATGCTAAATCCCTTTACTGGGCCTTGGGAGGGAGAGGACCCAGGAGCGTTTTTAACAATGAGCAAGAGAGAGATACCTTTTGTACCTTTCCTGTGAGGCCAGGAGATGTCAGGGCTGTAGGTGCCATCTTCACACTCTGAGTAGGTCTAGGGAGAGAGGCAGGCTTAGTGGTGGAATTTCAAGTGCTCCCGGGAGGAGGGAGACCAGCAAACAAGCGAGGCTGCTCAACCCTGGCCTCTCCCGGGCTGGGGATCCCCACCAGCAAGTGCAGGATCACCTCACGCTTATGCTCTCAGCTATAAGATCAAGGCTATATCCCAGGTGATGCAGATTACATCTTCTAGGAAGCGCCTTTAGCTCCTTAGACTAAAAGTATGAATAAAGGATGAAAGCTGTTATTTTTACTTAAAAATAATTACAGTTGACAAGACTGCTACAGCATTTTAAGCCCACTCACATCTATCCTCTACCTTAATCTTCACCTACTATGAAGTGGGCAGGGCAGGAGTTTCCAGATGGGAGCCCCAGGCTGGGATACAGGTAGAGGCCTGGACAGAGTGAAAAACCTAGCTTTTCAAAAACTGCTCTGGGGCTTGCCATGCAATTAATCCTGCCCAACCCAATACATAGTAGATATAAAAAAAAATATAAATATATATATATATATATAAACAAATAATTAAGCTTTAACCCCCTTAAGAAATGAGGATAAAAGTCCTGACCTATTGAATAGGGCAGTCACAAGTAAGGATGGCAACTGATAGGAAGTGAATTCTGAACTGGCTATGTTTCTAAAGCAGGGAGGCTGACACCCGGCTCTCACTGTGCCATACATGCCACATCCTCACGTGAATGTGGTCTGGGCTAAAGCGCTAAGCAGGACGTGGTTAGTTTAAATAAAAGGCCATCTCCACCTTCCCTTCTATACCTTTTCTCGGTGACCATAGTGCTCTGCATACCAAACCATGCCGTACAGACACAGGAAGGTAGTGAAAGCCTGGAAGAGAAAAACAAGCACAAAACCATTTTATAAGTGAGGGTGCACAAAAAAATGCCATTTCCCGGAACTTCAGGGTTTCAATGGGAATTCATACACGATGGCTCGATGCATTTCTGCCTTCTCTCCCGGGATGCCGGTTACAGAATGGCTGGATGCAGCAGAGGTGAACCCCGGGGGGCAGCACCCCTAAAGCTTTCGGCAAGAAGAGTTCCGATGAGGCCACAGTTACCACTGTGACTCCACTGTCAGAGTGAAGATCATTTCTAGATGTGGGATCAGGTGGGATGCATTTTCTGAACAGCTTTGCAGGTTCTGCCTAAGAAGACGTATAGGACTCCACATTGTATTTCTTTTTTTTCTTTTTGGCCTGATTTTCACAGCCTATCCTCTGCACCCTGCCGCCCATCACTGGAAAGAGTTAAAAGGACTTAGCTTGGGCTTCCCTGGTGGCGCAGTGTTTGAGAGTCTGCCTGCCGATGCAGGGGACACGGGTTTGTGCCCCGGTCTGGGAGGATCCCACATGTTGCGGAGCAGCTGGGCCCGTGAGCCATGGCCGCTGAGCCTGCGCGTCTGGAGCCTGTGCTCCGCAGCGGGAGAGGCCACAACAGTGAGAGGCCCGTGTACCACAACAAACAAACAAACAAAAAAAAAACGACTTAGCTTGTCAGCTTCTGAGGGGAAGAGGATTTCTGAATGAAAAAGCAGTTTCATTCAGTCTGGGGTCACAGTGGTGCCGGAGGGCATTGAGGACACACACCCACGTGTAGGTGGCAGACCCCAGCAGGGCACCGCTGCCCTGGGCTTGGCGCTGCTTTTTAGTCTCAGTGGCCCGGCTCTGACCCCAGTTCTGGTTGCTTTTGTTTTTCTCAGTTAAGTAGATAGGAAACTAAAGCGAAAATAAAAATGTCTTGTGAGCCCTGGTGTGAAAAGAGAAGGGCGTGGTCCACGGGTACCCAGAGGCCAGGATCACCTCCGCTTCCCCCCCATGTGTGCCCCACTGGCCCCCCTGCACCCTAAATTATACTCTAATTTAAGGAAAAAAATAGCACCTAAGAATCCAAAGTTTAAAAATGTGTCAAAAAACTACAAGTCGGGGAAAACTTCCTGGCTGTTTGGACTAAGCAGTGTGTTGGGCCAGGTCCTCCGGCCAGGCCTCCCCTTCCCCTCGCGACTGTAAGTGGATCACCAAAACCCAACCAAACCAAACTGCCCGTCCTGCCATGACATTTCTTCAGAATTCCTTGATTTAGGAACCCACTGACAGTGAATTCTCTTCAAGGATTCCTAACCTCCATCTCTTCCACTGCATTTCCTCTTGGGGACCTGTCACCTTGACCCAGTCATGGGAACAGTTGTGAATTCATGATGGACTCTTCCCTTCTTGAATAATTTTAATTCTTTCTAAGAATCATAACTTTAGATCTAGAGGCATTGCCTCAGAGATCGTTCATTTCAATTCCCCTCATTTCACAGCAGAGGAATGAAGGCTCAGAGGCGACTGCCTTCTCAAAAGACACACAGCTAGAGTGTGGCAAGACTGAAGCCAGAACACAGGTCTCTTTATATCCCTGGATCACATTTCAGGGATGGCTATCGAGATAAATACTGATTTTATGTCTACACATCTTTATATCTCTATTGATCTGTCCACTCATCCATTCCTGGAGGAAGCAAAACATCATGGGAAGAGCCAGTCCCATCCCATCCCTCTGCACAGCCCACAGCCTGGAGGGTAGAGCCAAGACTGCAGGGAAGGCTGGGCTGTGCGTTCTCATCACGGCAGCTTGTAGTCCAGCCCCGGCCCAGTTCCTCAGGTCAGTGACGTTCACTGAGTGTCTGCTGGGCGCACAGAGTCACCTTAAGTCTCAAGAAAGAAAGGAGTCCAAGCGCTCCAGCTGGCCATTCTCCTTCTACATCAGTGAAGTGTGAATAGCAGCATGGTGGAGAGGTAACATGAAATATAAGAAGACCCACTAGTTCATTTTATATTAAATCCATATACAAACTGGTATAAATTAGGAATTTTTTTTAAAAAGCTCATATCCCCCCATGAAAAAATTACGCAATGAATGAATATATTCAAATTACAGAATGAAAACTACTTCTAATCTTTAACATATTCCAGTACTTGTTCAGATTTCTAATATACAACCACCATTGAACGTACGATTTTCACGGCATGGCAAGAGTGGGAAGACTAGAGCATCCGCAGTGTGTAAACCTATGTATATGTCAGCTCCTTGACAAAGAGCAGAACAGGTCGGCCTAGGTTTCACAGGGAGGGCAGGGAGGACAGGTTCCACCTCCATGGACCAGTCAGTGGCTGCGGCGGGGGTGGGGAGTGGGGGCAGCGCCGCGCCGCTAGACCATGGGAGCAGTCAGGGCTGGGCTGACTGTCACTGTGCAACCCGCCCACCAGAGGGCAGGCGTGTGGGGCTCTTCCTCTTCGTCCCCCAGCTTCCTCCCTTCCCCTGGGAGGGCAGGCGGGCAGCTGGGGCTGCTCCAGCAGCAGACAGCTGAGCAGAGGTGGCTTTGCAGCGGGGCAGGCAAACACTGGCAGGTGCTGGGAGACAGATGCTTATCATCACGATCGCCATGCAAAGGGCCTGCCGCAGCTGCCAAGTTTACCACTTCACCTGGGTACAAGAGGCCCCTTTTTATACACTTGTCCCAGGAGACAAAAGCTTGTAATTTATGGGTTTGCAATCACACCTGTGGAAATCTAGGCACGTACCCACTTAAAATGTCAAGGCCTGGATTTAAAATGACAGTTGTACGGATTTTGTTTAAATAAAAGGAAGAAAGAAAGAAAAACGTGAGGGCTGAGAGCCAAGGCAGCACACACACCCCCGGTGTGGCTTCCACGCTATGGTAAGGTGTGCTCAAATTCACCCAGACTGATCAGACAACTGGTGCTGGGGCAGCTTATTAACCAGCATATGGGAGCTTTACTTCCACACTGATCTCAAATTCCGTGTACGTTCTCCTACCGGGCAAGGCGAATAATTGGGGCCTTTGTTTCTCTTAGTGTGGAGGCCTGTGTAACGCAACGCTCTCTTACTCGATAATGTTTGCCTCACTCCTAAGATTGAGAGCAATCTTGATCTCTAGTAAAGGCCATGATTATAAAAACGTGCCAGGACCTTATTTCCACTCTTTTTCTCTAACTGGTAAATGTGCAAGGCAGTGGGGACCCCTAATCATCCCAGCCAAAGGCCTCTTTTCAGGCCAGGTCCCCCTGCATGGCACTCATCACTGCTAACACCAACTGGGGGATTCTGCTTATCTTCAAAGTCCTCTTTCCTGTGGCTGTTTCTTGCCCTTGGCCTGGCCTCTAAAATGTGGCTGCTCCCCAGACGCCATTCTCAGCCAGCTTCTCCTTCCCACACTATGTTCCCCGACTCTTACCGACCCAACGGCTCCAACCATACCCTACAAACAGGTGCCTCCCACCTCTTTCACCTCCAGCGCCGACCGAGTCTTTCCAGTGCTACTGGACAGACCAGAATTTCCAATGACACAAGACACCTTCACCTGTAAAATCTAAGGGTCCCTCACACCTAACTCATCTCCTTTCGAGGGGCTTCTCTGATATCCTCCAACCTGTTACTAGCACCAAAAGCCACCAGTGGCACAAACAGGAAAGCCTGGAGTTGCCCTCCCCAGCTCTCAGAAGAGGACAGCGTCTACCGAGTTGGGCTCTGGAGCTCTCAGATCCAGCCCTTTCTCTGCATCTTCAAGGCCGCTGCCTTGGATAGGTTCTCACTGAGGTCCCTCCAACACCCTCAGGCTCAACCCTTCTCCAATCCGCCCCCCGCCATACTCTCCCACCCTCCAGTTGCCCCATGAGACAGTCATTCCTCTGAAAAACCTTCGAATCTCCAACCAAGACACACAGAGCCCATCCTACGCAGACGACCCCCTCTGCCTCCAACTCGCTCTCCTTCTTGCTCCCCAAACAGGTCGCCGTCCTCTTGTGACGCTGGCACGGGCATGGCTTTGAGTCTTTGGACGTGCTTGTCTCTCAACCTGCCTCGGTGTGTCACGGTCTTTGTCCCTTGACCTCAGTCTCTTCTCCTCCCTGCGTGTGCCGAGTGCTTCCTGTGCTAGCGTCCGTGGGGACAAAAGGACAATGGAACCTTATTCTTTGTGAGCAGGAAGTGCCACGTGGAGGAGACCGATATAAATACCCCAAATTACATCACACTGGGGCTAGAACTAAAAGAAACATGTACCAAATGCGACTGGTCCCCCGAGGAAGGGTTGTCTAGTCTGCCTCGCAGGTGAGAGCGTATTGCATGCAGGACACGGATTTAAGTTTGGTCTTGGCATTAAGATTCACCAGGTAGAGAACGCAGGGAAAAGCACTCAGATCGGGCAGAGGAAGCCTCCTGGGTGAAGGCAAGACAAGTCGGGAAGGATGGTGGGTTGAGGTAACTAGGAATAGTTTGGCGGAGCCCGAGCACAGGGTACAGGGCGTGGGTGTGGTGAATGATCCAGAGAATGACGGCCCTAAACACACAAGCAGGACTTCCTATTTCAGCTGGTAGGTCTGTGGCGGGGATGCGGCTTCCTTCTTGCTGTTTCTGTCTACACAGAGGGAGCTTCCCTGGTATAACACTCCTGCTTTCCCTCACCCCTTGCCCCTTCCCCAGGGAGGCAAGTATCTTAACGGGGTAGGGAATAACAGATAAGGAAGCTGGGCGTCTCCCTTCTTTCCCTCTGGGTGCGAGGCCACCAGCGCAATGTGGGGGGCCTGCTTCCTGGGGCTGCAGAGGAAGCGTGTCTGTTTCTGGGGTTCACTAATCCGAAGCCCCTTGCTGGCACGCACCTGAAGCTGATACTGAAAAATGTGGACTCTCAGTAGTAAAGCTGCCGTTCTGTCTCCATAGCCGTCGTCCATCCTGACTATCTCTAATTGCTCTGAACCTGGTGGGGGGAAATGCTGTACTGTTAGACCCTCTAGGCCCCAACGATAGGGAAAATGATTCTACGCA